CTCAACAATCAAGTGGACAATGCTTTCTGTCCTGCACACAGTTTACATTTGACCGTAATATATTTTGCGTCCTTTATCCCCACAAATGTAACATAGTGGTTATATTTCCAAGTTGCAAATGCGCTGCTGCTCTCGCTGATACTTGCATCTGCCATTGTGTGTGTGTGTGTGCTGGTGGTGAGCGTTGCCATGTGTGTGTGTGTGTGTGTGTGTGTGTGTGTGTGTGTGTGTGTGTGTGTGTATATGTCTGGGAGGGAGGGTTGGGTTTGTTTTATTTTGTTTAATTGTATTTCTTGTAATTGTATTTCTTTTTCTTATGTACTTCTAGTAATAACATGTTGTGCTTTTGGTTGTACATGTGGTTGTACATGTTGTGTATACAAATTTGATTAAAAAAAAGTATCTCCATCCATAAGAGTATATGTGTGTATTAGTTTACTAAACATTTTTTATGAATGATATAAACCTGATTCCTTACCGATTTCCACCAGAATGACTCGGGGCTCGTTGCGGGTCAGAGCGTCGTGGACGCCGATTTTCTGCTCATAACACAGCTGAGTTTGGTTGTCACACAGGGCTTCCACTTCCTCCGTTTCGCCCTCAGTGGAGAATCTTATCTCTGGTGACAGGATGATAATCAACCTGTGGCATCGGCGCACCATAGCAGCGATGACGTCATGCACCGCTGCAAGAGATAACACAGGAAACAGAACAAATTCAGCTAAAGGCCAAATATTTGTTTTCTTTGTCAAATGGCTCAATTTGATTCAACATTACAATGCAATCCAATGCACACACAATGCCATTTGACGAAGCATAAAATAAACCTTTTGACACATATCCAACTTATTTTAGTTGATTTGATTTTTTTTATTTGATTAGATTTATTTCGAATGTGAAAAACAATAACACAAACATGTAAGATGAGAATTATTATACAATACAAAATTAAGCAGTGTCAAATTGATAGACACAAATATTACTGATTCTAAATTATATATAAACAAATGATCTACTTAATTACACATCCGAAAAGTTCTTGGTGGACCTAATTCGTTTTAATTACCCAAAAGTGTGAGAGGCAATACGTAACAACAGCTCATAATGCGGTATATTTGGTCAATGAGAAAAGTCAGTTTAACCAAATTAGTTAGCAGTTTATCTTTTGGGGCCTGTGGAATGTCGAATGCAAGAGTGTCCTTGAATGCAGAACTAAGGAACGCAGCAATTGCAATAATAAAATAAAACACAAAAAAAATAAATAAGGACAAATCCACTGTGATTGGTTTTCTTAAGTGCATTTCAAATGCAAATGCAAATGTTTGTGTGTGTGTGTGTGTGTGTGTGTGTGTTCCTGACCTTCTCCAGGGCAGTCGTCTCGTCCTCTGATGAACAGCGAGTAGCCGTGTTTCTCCATCTCCTTCGGCAGGATCTGCAGGGCGAAGTTTGCCGTCACATCTGAAGTGATCGTGTCTGGATGGAGGAAACTCACATAGGCGTCGTAAAGCTTCCCATCTGAAACTGTAGAGAGCACTATGTAACAATTGCGCTTCTATTGGCTAGCGCTATAATACATTGTACGTGTTAGGCTAAGGGGCGGGACATCTCTAAGCGGTTGACCAATCACAACAGACCCGGCCAACTAACCGATCAGAGCAGGCTGGACTCTGGTTTCAGACAGAGGGTGAAAAGAGGTGCTGCAGCACAGGCAGTATGAGAACAATAAAGAGCTTTTTGAACATTAGAGCATGGAGACATGTCCCAGTAGAGCCACAAAAAATTAATATCAACCTGAAAATGAGCATAATATTACCTGTGTACAAAAGTATTAAATCCCCATGGAGTCCTGTTTGTGGCCTCATGTTTATGTCCTCCTTAATTATTCATCTTCAATGTGAAGTACCTTCTTCCCTGACAATGTTAACATTTCCTATGGTATCTAAGTTGTGTTCATTCCATGAGGCTGACACATTATTTAAATTTGTGCAATTTGGGCAAACAAGAGATTTTCTGGTAGTCTGAAAAGCACCTTCAACAAACACTTACTTTGTTGTTTGGAGAAATGTCTCAAGAGTTTCCTGTAGGCCAACACCAGATCTACTTTAAAGAAGAGGAAGGCAGCGAAAGCGAGGGAGGCTGAGATGCAGAGAGAGACGCTGGTGTAGAGCGCACTGTGGTCCGCTGGAGGGAGGAAACATTCAAACGTTCACACATGTAAACCAAACAAGAATAAACAAGGACTCCGGGAAGTCTTTCATGAAGGATCAATTTTGTGGAAACCTCGTGAAAAACCAGGTGTTTATTTCCATTTTCCAAGGAAATGTATTGTTTAAGTTTGTGTTGAAAAGTAACCAATGAAAGATATGTAGGAATGTTTAAGAGATGTCCATGCCTTAAAGGGTTAAAAATGACTACTAAGAAAAGAGAACAACAAAAGTCTTGAAAAACACTTGAACAAGTACAAGGAGATGCAAAACAGCTGCAAGGAGAGACAACGAGTTTCACAACAGTTATGAAAAGGAAACCACAAAGATAAGGTTCCAAGTATCCACAGTTAAAAAAGAAAACCAAAACAATTACAAAGTTACACCAAACAAAAAGATACATAAAGACCACAGAGAGATGTGTAGCAACTACAAAGACACACGATCACAACAAAAAGAAGCAAAAAGTGTGTTTTGCTCCGGGCGAGACTCAAAAGTTTTTAAAACTATTTGGGTCCACATATAGTATCCATCCAAAAGTAATGTATGTCACAGCTGAAACCATTTGTGTTTTAATGTGTTGCTTATAGTTTCAAATTCCTGTGTTGGCATTGTCTCTGATATTTGTGTGTAATTATTGATAGAAATGGAGAAAAAGAGAAACAAATACCTTCTTGAAGCAACGCCACACCACATTCAAGTTTAAGAGTGGTCCGTACGCAGCAGGTAATGGGGACGTTGATGAACTGACGGTGAACTTCTGAGATGGACAGGGTGGACAAACCGTAGTACACTCTGCCATCCTCCTGAAAACTTGAAGGAAAAGGAACAGTCATACAGTTATCGATCAGTTAGAATAATAAAGAAGAACAAATGTCGTCTTCATGCTTTTCTTTTTCGATTATTCTGCTTATGATTTTTGGGGTTCTCCCATTCCTGTAGTTTGATAATAGGTTTTTTGTGCATGTAAATGGTCGGCAAAGGCTACAATCCCAAAGTTCTCTCCAGAGGAAGTTTCTCTCCCACAAACTCCCCCCCCCTGCCTGAAACGCCTCCATTGGACTCCTTTGCTTACTTCCGTGACATAGTGACATCACTTTGTAACACTTGCGATCCTATTGGCTAGCACTCCGACACATTGTACGTGATAGGCTAAGAGGAGGAACATTTTAAAGTAGAGACACTACATACTGATATACACCTGAACATCAGCAGGAGAGGACTCTTTAAAGTAGAGACACTACATACTGATATACACCTGAACATCAGCAGGAGAGGACTCTTTAAAGTAGAGACACTACATACTGATATACACCTGAACATCAGCAGGAGAGGACTCTTTAAAGTAGATACACTACAT